CAGGCAGCGAAGATTTACATTTTCCCACAGGAGTCACCACAGCTATACTGTCAATCGTGCGCTTACAAGCGAGTGTGTCAGACTGCATGATTCCCCAACCACGAAGAGATCCGACGCGCATGTTACGAGCTTGGATAAGCGAATCAACAAGAGAATGGTCAAACGAATCATGGATATTACGCTTGAGGAATTTTCTGGAGACGCATATTCATTCTTGATTCATGCATCGCTGCACTGACGACAGGGTCCAAATTCATTGGGGTTAGTAATACACGTAAGCAGGCACGCTAGCTGTCAAGGCTGGTTCCTCAAAGCGGAAACACGCATGTTCACTTAGATTGTGGTGCATTTTCAATACAGCAGCGAGTTGATCGCACGTGCAAGGAAACATGTTACTCGTGAGGCGTTTGCCCCACGTCTTGGAATTGATGAGAAGATCCTTCGGTGAAGGGGCTTCGCGGACCTTCACAACCAGAGCACACGACGACCCCCGTGGCAATTGAGGCCTCACATGAGCACGGAGCACATCGATAACACACTCCCGCACGCAAGAAAGACATGTACGGGATGGTACCGTGCAATGCTCGTGGACAACTGAAACATGATGCGGCTCACGTGCTGCAGTTGCTCCCCATGGAACTGCCGAGACGGTCTCCTAAAAAAAATGAAGGGGCTGCGGCTTGTGATCTTGCAGCCACCTCAGATGCTTAAACACAGTTCTGCCTTTCGTTCCCATCTTGCCCATGTGGAGAACAAGGGCCGAAAACGAATGTCGTAACAGCTTGTTCGTGCTATCCTCACTGGTGGATGCAATGTCATCAGCGCAAATAACGCGCGTGTGAACGCGAGGTGTTTGCGGATCACGTCTCCTAGCGAAAAAACGGTCGATTCCATCGTCCTCAGGGATGAATCGCAGTGCGCTGACCGGAAGCGCGCGCATAAGAGGTACGAGCGAATATTTTCACAAAAGAAGGCATGTTCAACAAAGGACGAGTATGGGCGATGTGCCGCTTCTGCAAGTGCAGCATTTGGAAATCACAAGAAGGCGACATGTAAGGCAAAGGCACTCGGACATATGAGCCGGGACCGCGGGATCGCATTTTAGAGTGCGCGGGCAGTTGGCAGAAAGCAGTTCCGGCAAACATGTTCCGGTATTGCTCTGCACTGCGAACACTCATTCCCCGAATGGCTTTCCGAAGAGTCGTGGAAATCCACGCGTGCACAACGCAGTCCGACGGATGATCCACCGACCGATCACTCAGAGAAGCCTTCTGCGAACGACAAAGAAAAGGTTTCTTTTTCCAGGAAAAAATGTTCCTTGAACGAAGACGCGCTCAACCATTTCATGGACAGAACAAGGCGGATGTGATTAATGGTGGCAATGGCAGAGGACAGCCAATTTTTCTCCGTCGAGTTGATTCGCTCCGTCTTTCCAGTGGAGCAATATCTCATCTCACAGATAGCGTGCGCGATGTTCGTGCAATATTGGTACAATAACTGGTACGCCTTACATTTAAAGGTAACAATATTGACCATGCGTGACACTACAGAACACCGCGCCGAACGACCGAACGCAGCAGATTTTGGCCCCCTTGTCATAGCTCGGCTTGTGCGCGAAAATAAAAATACAATGAATCACGTGGTTCTTACTTTTGTCCGTGTCTTCGGTCCAAGAACGCACGCAGACGCATTCGCATCAGCAGCAGCAAGAGGCAGGAGGAGGGGAATCACGGGGAAGACTAAAGAGACAAGCGCACCCTTCCATGTTGAGGCCGAGGCGCTCGAAATGTGGCTTTATGGATTGGCGGCAAGATGCATGGACCTGCCAGTGATCAGCGGCCATGTCGAAAAGCCACACTTTCGATGGAATCAACCTGCGATTTACTCGTGCGCGTGCGCAACAGGATTAGGACAGGAGAAGCGGGCGGAGGGGGCGGGAATCGAGGAAGCGGGAGCGAGGCTTGTAAACAAAAAAAAAAAAAAAATCAACGCTACGGTTCTATCACCCAAGACAGCAGCCCCCATGGCATCTCAGGCGACGTTGCGCCTAATCCGGCCCCGCTCTGCAAACGCACTCGATGCTGCCATCCAGTCGCGCTCGTTGTCCCGCGGGCGGCGGCGAGGGCGCGGGTTGGGAGACGGCGTGGCCACGTTGAGTTTCTTTGGGGCCTCGGGGGGGAACATGGACGAAATCTCCCTCAGATCGTGAGTCCTTTGCAAATCATCACCCCAATTAATATTGGCTTGCGGCTCGCCTCCAGCGTGCTCGATGGCAAACGCTCCCGAATGCATCTGAGTCACGCGCGCTGACAACCCTCATACCAAGGTAATCTTTGGGGAGAATTATGCCATCATGCTGCTCTCCAACGTCTGTCATCTCGGCGCCCCTGCCTCTTTCGAGAAGGCGCGGGGCAAAACCACCTCCATGAGGGCGGGGGGCGGACGATGTACCAGGATGCTGGCGACACCGAGTCCGACGATTTTCTCAATTTGCGCGCTCCCGATACAGGAAGTCACCAACTGATTCTGAAACTGGCAAACGGGGTGTTTCATGAACGGCGCGAACACCAATCAGAAATGTATCCCACTGGTCGTCTGAAGCACTCATTGGAAAAAAACTGGGCGATGTCTTCTGCGCGCTGCGATGATTTCGACTAATCTTCATTCGTTTTGACGAAAATTGGACTGGCGCTCTCCTTTCTCATTGTTTCCTCTCGTGGCAATCGGTATCACTTCGAAACCTCACGGGTCATCCAAATGAGGCCCTGCCGTAAATCCACGTATTGGCTCTCATAGACCCTCATCGGCGCCGGGCGAATCGAAGGAGGCATCGTGGCTGACGGCGTAGGAGGATAACCCATCGGATACCCACGACCGAAACCAGGAAATTGTTATCCTCCAAACGGTTGCCCTCCAAATTGCTGGTTGCCAAAAGGCGCTGGGGGACGAGGGGCAAGCGGATTCATATCACCATGCACCGTGAGCGATGCAAGAAGCCAGAAACGGAAACAATCCGTGTACAGTGCAAGAGTGACATACAAATACGTGGTGGGTTAAGGGTTGGGAGCAGGATCTATCAGATCACCAACCTGGGAATTTGTTTTGACAACTTCTTTAAACTGTTGTCTGAGCCGCAAGACCACGGAGAGCAGTGCAGACGGAACGAAATGAATTGAGCTCTTGGGCTTGCTGCAGCCGCGGGCGCGCCCGAGCAGGCATCGCCGCGGGCTAGCGCGGCCGCAAAGATGCACAAGCCAATACCCAGCACTGATCGCAATCGCTCCCGCATGGGTTTTGCAAACCAAGCTGCGGGTGGGTTGGTGGGATGCTTGCGCGAGCAGTGGAATGGACACATTACAGCCAACAGAAATTTGTGGCACAACATATATTGCACCACGTAGATTGCGAACCAAACATATTGCACCACACATTTTGTATTACGCAGTATGCTAGATTACACTGTTTGGGGCTCGCGCTGGCTAGCAGTTGCATATTCAAATGTACATGGAATGATGAAACAGATGTATCTAAAAGAAAGAGAAAGAGAGAGAAAGAGAGAGAGACAGAAAGACGGAAAAAGACATAAAGAGAGAGAGAGAGAGAGCGAACGCGCGAGAGAGAGAGAGACATGCCAACGGGCAATCGAGAGAGAGAGAGAGAGACAGAGAGAGCGAGAGAAACAAACCCGAGTGATGCAAACGAGCTATATGTATAATTTTAGAGAGCGAGGGAGAGAAAGAGAGAGAGAGGAGGACGCAGTTGCCAAGGTCAAAACCGAGACGGAGGCTGGCTGGCAGATAGAGGGCATAGGCAAGGGCATGGGAACAAACATCGAGATATCGACGATGACGGGAAGGGCGTTGATCTTGCCGACACCGCTAACGACGTGATTCTTTGCTGGCGCTTCGAAGATGCGTGTGAGTGCTCTGCCGGATCCGGACTCGCTGGGGCGTGGCCTCTTGTATGGTCCCGCATGGAAGGGGCTTGCCGGCTCCCGAGTCGGTGGGGCGTGGTCTCTTGAATATGGTCGCCCGTGGGGTCTCTTCTGTATGGTCTCCCGTACGGTCTCCCGTATGGTCTCACGTACAGCGGGGGCGCGCATCAAGAAACCATCTGCTTTTCGTCCGGGTATCATGGGTTTCTTCGCTCCTCGCTCTGCGCGGTGACTTCCCGCGGCCGTTAAAGAAGCTGCTGCGTTCAGGGTGCTCCTGGTTTCCCCTCAGGGTCACCTCGCGCACGGGTTCTCAGGGTTGGGTTTCTTGCGAGGGTTTCTTGCGGCCGCGCCCGCATTGTATGGCTTCTCGTATGGTTTCTTTTTTAGCCTCATGTGTTGTTTCCCGTCTGGTCTCTCCTATGTTCTCGCGTACCGTCTGCCGTGCGGTCGCCCGAATGGTTTCCCGTACTGGTTTGCGTATGGTTTTCCCGTGTGGTCTCCCGTACGGTATCATGTGTTGTTTCTTTTGTCTCCTGTATTGTCTCCTTCATTGTCCTCCTCATGATGTTCGTTGTGCGAGTTTCAGTCTCTATGCTACCCTTCACTCTCTACAGTACGCTTCATAGTTCCCTAAACAGCGATTCCGTAACGATATTATGCTTCTGACACTTGGTAAGGCCCCTTTGCAATCGGTGGCCCACCGTGGCACCCCATCTTGGCCCCTGGGCCTCCTATCGTGAACTGATTCAAGTTGGTTGGGGTCGTCTGCCACAAGCGTGTCGTTTTTGTCACGTCGTCGGCCCCCGAATTTCTCGACACCATCATCGGGCCCGGTGTTCCGTCGCGGGTAGTTCTGTTCGACGGTTGCGTGGCCCAACAACGGCCCCCAGAAGGCGAAATTTTGAAACAAATGCGGCCGCGTTTTCTTTTCGCGACGTTCGAGACCTGGGTCTTGCTTCCCCAGGCAGGCTCTCGCTCGGCTCTTGAGCCCCGCCGGATTCCCGCCCATCCGCGCTTTCTCAATCGCCGGACCCGCGGCTGAGCCTGGGGAATCGGGTTGGCCCAGGCCGTGGACATCTTCGACGCCCCCGTGTTCAAATGGCGTGGGATGCATTTGGATGTGAGCAACATGAGGAAGGTGGAGAAGGACGATGAGCCAGGGGGAGGGGTAGGAGTAAGGGAGGGGTAGGATGAGGAGAATGAAAGATGATGATGATGATGAGGAGAATGAAAGATGATGATGATGATGATGATGATGATGATGATGATGATGATGATGATGATGATGATGATGATGATGATGATGAGGAGGAGGAGGAGGAGGAGGAGGAGGAGGAGGAGGAGGAGGAGGAAGAGGAGTGGAGACATTGGCGAGTGCAGTGGCTGAGGAGGATAGGCAACAATGAGGAGAAGAAGGAGGACGACGACTTGATGTTTGTGTGGTGACTGTCAGTGCGCCTCATAGTACTGTAGCTATGAGTCCTTGCACATGTTCTGCTACCCGATGGGGCGCCCAGTCTTAGTGCTGGCAAGGAGACAGATCGGAGCACAGCGGTTGTTTGTTTCGCGATGGGAGGATCTCCGTTCTCATCTACCTTTCTCGCAGGGGCCCGTCTGGCATCAAGCGACGCAATTCATCCCAAGGGCAACTTAATTTTCGAACGTGGACCGTCGGCGCGGGATGTGACTCATGATTTGCGATAAGAGTCGAAGGAGGAGGGGGAAGGATGACCAGCATGACGACAAGCGGGCGTTACGAGTGGGCGTGATTATTGGGCTTGTTGTCTGTTTTCTGACAGTACCTTGCAGGTGATGCAGGAACGTGATATGTGTTTCATGCTGCTCCAGCACTTCCCATAACCATCTAAGCCTGCCGCCCACGTCGTGCACCTCCAACATTGGATTCCGATGAATTCTCGTACCTGGGGCCTTTTGGAGAGGAGTTTGGGGCAGAGCGGTTGGAAGGCAGCCTTGCGATCCTGCGATCCGAGAAATTATGCCCTCTGAAATGCACGCTTCTTGGTGGCCAAGGTGTACCCCTCTTCCGTAGTACGCCGTCTCTCCCCCGAGGTGAGCCGACACTTCTTTCCGATCGCCGACGTCAAGCGGCTGCTCGACACCATGGCCATGTTCAAGCTGAACCGCTTCCACTGGCACCTCACGGACGACCAGGGCTGGCGCATACCCATTCCAGGCGCCTCGGATTTGCGCGGGCGGCGGACGGCCGCGAAGGAGCAGAGTCCCGACTTCCCCTGACAGGTAGAAAGCACGGTCTCTAGCTGCAGGCCGTCTTTGGAACATCTTGCCGTGAGGGAGTTTGCAAAACATTTTCTCTCAAACGGGTTGCCCGTAGCCACATGTGTAAGTTCAATTAGATTAGGCATTGATTTGGGCATAGTTGTAATGTCGCCGACCAGCCTAGCGCAGCGTAGATTGCAGCAACCGAGTAGATGGTTTCATCCTCCACGGGCTTGGATTTGTAAAGTGTGGCTTACCTGGGCCGAGCATGAGTTGAGATCACCCTGGCTCTGCCCAGCCTTTTTCTCTACTCGGGGATGGTACAATCGCGCTCCAGCGAACGCTCCAAAGTCTCCAGCAGTCAACTGACCGCTACTTGTGAGGAAACCCCACCGTGACCCCACCCTGAAGAGCGAAGCACCTCTGCAGCGGTTGCCGCACGGCGTCCCCAATCCTCGAGGCTTAACGCCACAGGCGCGTCACGGCACTGGCACGCCGCCACTCGCGCCAAGTTGCGTCGCTGTGGTTCTGCCCGGCTGGCCCGAGGAACAGCTCGTTCACGCCAGCTTCGCTGCTGCGGGAGAGGTGGCTGGAGCGGGGGGGAAGGGAAGCCGGAGGGGGGAAAAGACGGCAAGAGGGCCGGCGATGAGAGTGGAAGCGAGAGAAGAGGAGAGGAGAGGAGATGGGTGAGGGGAGGGGAGATAGTGGGGAGAGGGGGAGGGCGACAAGAAGGGATGTGATGCTATGAGGTAAGTTACGCAACATGCTGCACCGTCATAACGTATAGGACATGAGATGGGTTCGGGAAGAGTGGGAGGCGAGGATGAGGGATAATAAGGACGAGAGTTGAAGAGAAGAGTTGAGGGAAACACGAATTTTTGATGCGAAGGGGTCCTCGGATTGGATGACAATGTCCGTCGTCGCGTATGTACCTTGTGGTCCGACTTCTTACCATCTCATCATTGTTGGTGGTCGACGTTGATACATTCTTTTTCGCCCTGCGAATTTGGTACTACGCAGGGCATCTGGCACGATTAATTGCGGTTCGACGCTATCGGAGAGGCGCAGTTGTTTGAGATAGCCATTGACATCTTCATCCATTTCCTCTCCCCCTCCTCACCTCCCCTCTCCTCTCCATCCCCTCCAAGGATCTGCAGGGGTAGGCGGGTTCGGCGGGCATTGGTACCGCACGGGTTTCCCTGGTCGGCTGCTTACCTTTTCGGCCCAAGTGCACCGGGCAGTAAATTCATGCCTCCACGGAGCGAGAGTCAAAGAACAAGTCCTCCCCTCCATCCTCCGTCGCCCCCCTGCCCCATCCTGGCCATGTCCGCACAATCGCCGTCTGCAGGGGGGGAGTGCAGGCGAAAGCGCGGTGCTCCAAGGCCTAATCCAATTCCGAGTTCTTCCGCCGCCTGCCCTCTCCATGATCTCTCGCTCAGTGAAAGTGGAGGAGCAAGACAAGCGTGAGAACAACATGTGTCTGACGTGTGTCCGTGCGGATCTTTCCGTTCGGCGCTGGAGCACCCCTACCACATCCCCTAGCGGCGCTGGTGGCGAGGCCAAGGGTGTGGGGAGGGGGGTGTCAGCGCGGACCCCAGGGAATCACCGTTGACGTCCAGAGGAGAACTGTTTGCACTTATGGAATCTTACTTCGGTTCTTCAGTAACTCGTTGGCGAGCTGGTTTCGTGGGCGTTCCTGGGTCCTCGGGCGTTCCGTGGTGCCTCGTGCGCTCACTGGGAGTTCCTGGTTTTCAACTGGTTGCCGCCCTTCGGCGCCTTGCGGGCGCCTCGTGCGCAGGCTGGGAGTTTCAGGTCCTCACCTCGTCGCCGCCCGTGGGCGCATCGTGGCCGCATAGCTTGTACCACCTAGCTTGCAGCACGTGGCGTACGCTCCATGGCGTGCACCACAGCTTGCACCAACCTGCTTGAACCATTATGCAGATGTTGCACCACACAGCTTTTGCCGCGCAACGTACACCACACATGCAGCTTGCACCACCATGTATCGTACACCACATAGTTTACACCAGCTTGTGCCACCTAGCTTGCACCACATAGCTTGCTCCACATACAGTGTACCATACAGTCGTCACCGCACCGCTTGCAACACATAGCTTGAATCGCATGGTTTCATCACGTATCTTGGCTCAAGATAACATGCACCACAAAGCCTGCCAGCATGACAAAGCTTGCACGCACAGAGCGCAATACGTTACTGTTTTGGGTCCACGCTGGCAACCATTCGCGTTCATGGCTTCTATCTTCAACAGGACAGGTAAATCCTCCCTCCTCGCTCCTCTCCTTGCTCATTCTTCTGCGGCTGGTACTTTCCAGCCAGAGTGGGGCTGCTCCGATATGCAGCCGCCACCCGCCCTCTCTTCGCGCGCGCCGCTCGTCCTCTCCGCCCTGCTCGGCGCGAGAGGCTACCCGCTGCTCACCACCAAGGGCTCAGGCCCCAGGATGAAGGACGGCCAGGTGGTCACTGGCGAGGGCGTGGAGGGCTCGTATTCCGAGGCCGACATCGAGGCGCCCGCGGGATGGGGTCTCTCGGAGGTTGATCGACCTCCTACCCTGACACGTCGATTAGCAAATTGGCCGTTTTCGGTTCGCGAGAGGGCGTCGCGGACGTCGTTTTTGCGGATCCAGGTCCGTCGGTTTCGGATCAAGGCCGCTGTCACTACAGGGTGGTTTACTAGAGGGAGGTTTGTCCACCGCCGAGTCTCTGGAGGGAGGAGGAGAGCTGTCCCCCCGCCCTTGCGGCCTTGGACAGCGCAAGTCCCCATATCCTAGTTGGAGGTGAGGGGGTGAGATCGAAGTGGAACGGGGAGCCCCCTTACCGGGAAATCGGTTTCGGTTTCGTGTTCGTGCGTGCCGTGCGTGCGGGCGAGGCGACGTTGCGTGGGCGGGCGAGAAATGTCCCCCCTCTGGCTGAGGCGCGGCCGGACCAAAAGTCTCCCTTCGGCAACTGGTGGCGCGCGGTGTCCCTCCGGTGATGATGATGATGATGATGACGATGATGATGATGATGATGATGATGATGATGATGATGATGACGATTATGATGATGATGATGATGATGATGATGATGATGATGATGATGACGGTCATGGTGGTGATGATGATGGTGTCCCGATGATGATGTTGATGATGCCGATGTTGTTGATGGTGATGATGGTGTCCCGATGATGATGACGATGATGTTGATGATCCTGAGGATGTAAGTTATGATGGGATGTTGTGATGGTGAAGATGGTGATGATTGTGTCCCGATGGTGATGATGATAGATTTGATGATGATGATGTTGCTGACGATGGTGATGATGATGATGATGGTGTCCCGATGATGATGATGTTGATGGTGATGACGATGATTGTGCCCCGATGATGGCTATGATGTTGATGATGCGGATGGTGATGAGGTGAGGATGATGATTTTGATGGTGGTGCCCCGATGATGATGATGATGCTGATGTTGATGATGATAATGGTGTCCTGATGATGATGGTGACGATGATGATGGTGTTCCGATGATGATGATGTTGATGATGCTGTTGCTGATGATGATGATGTTGGTGGTATCCCGATGATGATGAGAATTATTATGTTGTTCATGATACCGAGAATCCGATGATGGTGAGGATGTTGATGATGGCGGTGTTCGTGATAATGATGATGATGGTGCCCCAATGGTGATGATGTTGATGATGATGGTGACGATGATGGTGTCCCGATGATGGTGATGATGATGATGGCCATGGTGGTGATGATGATGGTGTCCCGATGATGATGATGCTGATGTTGATCATGATGATGATGATGGTGTCCCGATGATGATGATGTGGATTGTCCTGGTGATATTGATGGTTATGAGATGATGTGATGATGATGAATATGTTGATGCGGGTAGTGTCCCGATTATGATGATGAGCTCGATGATGATGCTGGTTATGATGATGATGGTGGTGTCCCGATTGTGATGATGATGATAGCGATGACGGTGTCCGATGATGATGATGAAGATGATGATGAAGATGATGATGAGGTGATGCTGATTTTGATGCTGGGGGCCCGAAGCTGCTGATGATTCCGATGTTGATGTTGATGGTATCCCGGTGGTGATGGTGATGAAGATGGTAACGATGATGATGGTGCCATGATGATGATGTTGATGATGCTGGTGTTGTTGATGATGATGCTGGTGTTTCGATGATGATGGTGACGATGTTGTTCATGATGATTATGAGATTAGGATGATGGTGGTGTTCCGATGATGATGATGGTGCCCCGATGATAATGTTGATGGTGATGATTGTGGCGATGATGGTGTCCCGATGATGACGATGGTGAAGATGATGATGTTGATGATGAAGGTGATGACGTGGTGATGATGATGGTGTCCCGATGATGATGATGATGATGATGTTGATGTCGTTGGTGGCGATGATGTCGATGATGGTGATGATGAGGATGGCGTCGATTGTGCGATCGATTGTGGTTTCGATCGTGATATCGGTAGTGAGACCGAATGTGAGATATATTGTGAGATCGATAGTGAGATCGATCGTGAGATTGATTGTGAGATCGATAGTCATATCGATTGCGAGATTGATCGAATGAAATGGATCGGTTGATATCGATTGTGAGATCAAGTGAGTAATATCGATCGAGCGAGACCGATCGTGAGATCGATGGTAAGATCGATCGTGAGACCGATCGAGTGTGACGTTGGTTCCTCCCCCCCGAACCTCCTTATCACCCGAAGGGTGGTCGTATAGGTGTGGGTTTCTTTTCATTCATGTCATACCTCCGCTTGCTCACCTCCCACCGCCTTCACTCATACCGCGACCATCTCATACCCGCCCGGGAGCAGTCACATTCAGAGTCAAACGCCAGGGCCATGAGCAGATACATCATATCCATACCCACTCACTTCCAGACTCTCTCACTCCCTTCAGACTCACGCGTATCATATCCAGACGCATCCATATTTACCCAGAGTATTTCACACTTGGACTCACCCATGTTCAGGTTCATTCGTACTGAGACGCGCACGTAGATGTTCACTCGCACTCAGGCCCACTAATTTCACTCACACTCATACTCGCATTCTGACTGACCCTCGCCAGGACCACTCACACAAAAACTCAGTCAAATCTAGACGCATTTTTGTTCAGACTCACCCAATAATCCTGTATGTCTTCGGCCGACTCCGTGTCCCTCCAGCGGGCATAGGTTTTGACTGGGCTCACTTTGGGATCCCCGACAAGCCTCCACCAGCCCGCGTTCGCCAAGTTACGATAGGGAGGTTTGGTTTACCGTGTCGCGCCGCCGTGTCTGGCCAACCACGCTTCGGCGCGACACGCTAACCGTTTTCGATTTCCCAAACGTAGACGTCCCGAGCCTTTCACCGTGTTGATGCTGAGTTACACTGTCAATGCCTCGCTGTCCTGGGGCCCAGGAGTCCTGGGGCGTTGCTGTGTTCTTGCTGAACTACACTGTCAATGCCACGCCTTCCTGTGGCTTTGCTGCGTTCCGGCTCTGAACGCACACCGCTTGAGGCGGCGGAGAGCTTGAAAGATCCATTGAACAAAAGCGCCGCGGAACGGCCCGACACGCTACCCGCTTGCAAGGCATAGCGTGTCGCTGGGGCCGCCGCCGCGACACGCGTTCCCAAAGCTTCTGACCGTAATTAGGGCTCTGGGAGCAAGTGGGCAGGGCCTCTGTCGCTTCACCCCAGCGCAGGATGGAAGTCGGGCCCGAGAGGCGAGGGCCGTCGCTCTCCGCGGCCCGGTCGACCCGGCCGCCTGGAGGCGTCGTCGTCGTCGACGTCGTAGTCCGTCGTCGTCGTCGTTGTCGTCGCCGTCGCCCTCGTCCTCATCGTCGTTGTCGTCGTCGTCGTCGTCGTCGTCGCCCGGAGGCGGTGGTGGCCTACGCCGCGGCCCTGCACATCGAGGTCGTACCAGAGATCGACGTGCCAGGCCGGGTGGAGGGGGGGAGGGGTCACTGCCGTCCAGCGATCCAGATCTCCGCCGATCTTTCCTCCTCCTCCTTCTCCTCCTCCTCCTCCTCCTCCTCTCCTCCTCCTCCTCCTCAGTCGCACCACGGCCCAGAGATGCAGCGCGCGACTGAAGCCCACACTCATTCATCCGACCCCTTTCATTCCCATGTCAGAACATGATGGCAGGGCAAGGAGCAGGGAGTGGCGGCGGTTGGAGACTTGTGCGAGTAATGACACACAATCCATTAACCGCCGCGTCGCCAGGCAGACTCGTCGACATCTCTCAGTAGTTCGGCAGCTACGATAGTGTGATGCTGCAGGGGGCTGCGGTCAGAGATCGAGGAGAGGTGTCCAGGAACAGAACATCACATCACGCATTTTTTCATGCTGGGCATGGCGCAGGCAGTAACGGGTATCCATCGGGCTTCACGTCAAACGCTGCAAGCTACCGTATAGTATTCGAGTGACTGCCCCACGAGGGCGATTGCAGGGAAGAGGTATCATGATACGTTATCGACGTGACAGGCACGACATAGCAGCTGTTTCAGTGTATTTCCCCGACAAGAGGCAACGGGCAAAGAGCAGCTGCATATCAACGCACGGTGGCAGGACTGTTCGACATGGTTACATGAGCAGCCGAACAGACTCCCATCCAGATGCATCCCCATCATTGGCACGGATCTCAAGTCTACGTGTGGACAGGACACAGCGGAAACGAGCATCTCGGGCAGCTTTAGAGGAGGACGAGAACGGCGTCAACTACGGCATACTACGTCCGACGCTCAAAGCTCACGGATTGGTTTTAGCAAGCACCTGTTATGAGGCAGGCGTCGCATATCACGGCATAGCCGACACTTTTCGCGAAAGAATGGGTTTCACCATCGTGCCCAAGGCGGTTCTACAAAACACACCGGAATACATGATATCTTGGAGACAAGGCAAGGCTCTGCAACACATAAGATGCGGTGGACCCAAAGATTCTTACCCAGTGAACTAGTCTTTCTATCATTCATATGAACACGTTCAACAACAGACAGGGCCAAGAACCCCGAACGCGGAGGCATGCAACGCTATCTTCTGCTATGGGCTTCAGAGCGAACAGTGCGTCAAACAAATAGACGCAGACTACATATGCAGATGCCATTATTCGAACAATGGGAGTATGAAGGTAATATTGATATACTCAATGCGGGTATGATGCAATGTATCGGCGAGGTGGCGCGGGCTCGGTTGACAGAAGCCCGAGGCGACAATGACAAAGGTTGATGACAATTTCAACCAATACATAGCTTGAGATGATGGATCAACGAGTGGCAGATCGAGCTGAAGCGCTATGGGAGGCCTGGAAAGAACGCAAGTTTTATGACGCACGCCGACTGGCACGACTTCTTGCGGGCATGCGCAGTGGACCTCGGGGCAGGCATTACTGCAAAGTTCCCACGCCCTGGGCATCATCACTGGATTGGATCAGCAAGTTTCAGAAGGCGGGAACTCAAGAAGGCGCAGCAGCACGTGTATTGTTCAGATTCACAGCTCCTCAGCGCGCCATAGGGTTTTGGAGACAGCCTTTTTCAGAGCAGACCTCTGGCCACGACCATCGCAAAACATTACATCTTGAATGGGCGAGAACTCAGGAATCTGAAATGATAGAGTTCCATACGGCACATGGAAATGCACTCCATGACGTTGAACAGCTTCTTTGAGCCATCAAGAAATTACCATCGTGGAGATCAACGCCCGGCTGCGGCACCTCAGTAGATCTTCTACGAGTGCTGGCACATCCCAACTCCCCAACTGGTACTACAATCCGCTGGATTAAAAAGTTGGGACGGCGGGGTTCGAGAGAGAGAGAGAGAGAGACGCTGTTGGCCACCCGTTAGGCCATGGGGCCCAGGACAATGTTGGATTTGATGCCGATTTGGGAGTTTCTGACGCATACCTCACCCCCTTTTAATATTATAAAGGCCAAATGGGGCCGGCGTCTGAAAGTGGCATTCCGCTTAGGACTTCCTCAAAAAAGTGTGAGATCACTTTCCAGGGCGATCTGAAATTCTCCCATGCCGTCTGAAAGTGGCGATTTCGCTTAGGACTTCCTCACAAAATGTTTCAGATCGATGTTCATGCCGCCTGAGAGTGGTCGTTTCGCTTAATACGTCTTCAAACATAACTTTCAGGTTGCTTTCCATGCCGCCAGAAGAGAAAGATTTTGTGTGCGATGATTTCCATAACTTTGTGCTGCAGAGCTCCGCGCCCTGCGGAGCCGTTCCGTCATTCGGTTCACGGGCCTGCCCTGGAGTCATCTCGGGGTTCATCGATGGTGGGGGCTCGAGGGCCAGTCGACCGGCGAAACCCGCGGGGATTGCTCTTTCGCATAGTGCCGGTCACAACTTTTTAATCCAGAGGGTGGCAGAAGAGGGCACGATGTCGAGGATTACGGAGTGCAGGTGAGCAGCTACGACATGCAGAGTCTGATGGTTCTCACATCGGATTCAGGCTGCCTGCCATCTCAGAATCTGAGCCGCTTCGTCGCCACGCCCCGACGCTGGGCGCCGGGGGCCTTGATCCCGGTCAGACTCCAGCTCGCGCGGATCCTCGCATCGCGTCTACGGCTGCAGCGGAGAAAGATGGAGAAATCGAGGGGACTACTGAACTACAGATACCAGCTTTCGAGAAATGCATGTGCCCATTATGCCGCACGGTGCGCCAGGTTGGAAGAGTCCCAGCAGTTTGGCATCCAGCACATCGCCGTCGACCCCCGATGCACAATGACAAGGGGAACGCGGCCAGATAAGGACCCATCATTGTGGTCTGTGGATTGGAAAGATACGTTTCCGATCGCTGATGAACCCAGAAGCTGAGGCGATGAATGCAGATCCGCGGCAGAAGGCTTTCCATTTGAAGCCCCCCGAACAGGTCAGAGCGCCGCGTCGCGCCACCGGAGGCGACTTGGCCGCGTCCTTTCTTGCGGATGAGATCGCGATCGAGATGGCTGGGGCGACTGCGCAGTATGTGGCCGCAGTCGCAGCGTGGGAAAACTGCCTTGCTCTACAAACATATGAACATAGCACGGGGGGCAGGCAGATTGGGGGGACTTACCAGTCGAACGCTTCGCGTAAAAAGGGCGAGCGCAGCTGGGCAGGTCCCGGCATCCAGGCGGGCGCAAAAAAACTGCAACAATGTCTTCTCTCTGCGGGGCAGCAGAAAACATCGAATGCAGGCATTGCGCGCGGCGTGGCACAAAATGGGCAAGTTCTGGTCTACTCGAGGCCCGCGGGGTTCAAATGGGTTGTCTTCTCGGGGCCCATCACGCACGCAGCTATCTCAGGAGTGGGGGCTCGCGCGCTCAGCGCGCGCAGCCCCATCGCGGAGCAGGGCCCCGCCCCCCGTCGGCAGATTGTCCACAGATTCGCCAGAGTCGTTCTTAGGAGCAAAAACACTCAGAGGCAAACGGGCCGCGCGCGAGCCCCGCCAAATACATGTGCGGCACGCTGTTCGCGGAGCTGCGAATTCGGCGGTTAAAATTGATGCAAGATTGCGCATCCGCCAGCACATGGGGCAACCCGTCGCTGCACTTGTAGGGCGGGCCAGACGTGGGCAGCAGGGCTTAGACGCAGATGAGCATGGAGTAGTTTTACCAGCAGCTAATGCACGGCAAAAGCAGTTTTGGCAGGATGCACAGGCACTCGAGAGGGCCCCAGAGGGGCCCGATTATGTAGCAGAGCTTGGGGGCATTTTTTTAATGTACATAAATAAGAATAATACTTGCATAAACGTTTAGAGGGGAAGCCAGGTGCTCGTTTTGAAGAATAGACGCTTCAGAACTTAGGTCGCGAGAGCTAGCTCGCAGCATGCCCCCACCAGGCCGAGGGTCAGGCGAGGGGGTTGCGAATCCTCCCGCCCCCGATGATCTCGCAGGCGGCGCGCCAGGCATTGCGTGTCCTGCGCGCAATGGAAGTTTCACGGGCCGGAAAAGCACGGCGGCGCACTGCGCGGGGGCGCGCGCCGAAGGCAGGGGCGACGCGGAAGAGATCCTGTGACGCAGGTGTGCCGCGGACAGGATTCCGCATGCAGCCGCGCCCCCTAATCATTGCATCCTTTGCAAAAGCAATTTTGCGGATCGAGCCACGGCCCAGTGGCGCGCGGCCGCGGCGGTCAACAATTGACGGGGCATGTCTGACTTTAGCGTGCGCGCCCCGCCCAGAGCATCACGCTCGCGCGCGAATTGCCCGCTGTGCTTGTTCGCCGCCCCGACGCCGGCGCAGTTGGATCAGCGTCTCGCCAGCGCGCGCGCTGCCGCAGCTGCGCCAACGCGCTCTACACATTGATGCGGCGTGGTCGGGGTCGACGCAGGCGCCGGGGGGCGCGCGGCCACCCTGGCGCGAGAAGCGGAACGAGCGCGGCGGGCGAGGATCGGATGGCCAAGAACGGAAGTTACTTTTACAGTAGGAGGCGCGGATGAGAGAGCGAGAGGCAATCGACGCGCTCTTCAGAGGCCCCACGGGCCACCCCGTTTTGGCGATCAAGGCGTCCGCGGCCAGATGCGAGGAGTTAGTCAAAGAGGCAGGCGCAGGTCACGAGCGCAGATTTCCCCATCGTCACGCCGCCGCCGCGGCGCTGACAGTATTGGGCGTCATTTCGACGGAGGGCAAGCTGGAAGACAGATGATGCATCTTCGCGGCGCCCAAGCGTTCGGACGAGGCGCGGCTGCGAGGCCAACCGGCGGACTTCGAGGGCTGGCGCGTCACATGCAGAGCGGGAGATATGCAGCGGAAGCAGGGAGTGGCCCCAACGTCGAGATTGGAATTTCACTTCGAGGGGAACTGCCCAGAAGGACTCGACGACGGGCAAGAAGCAGAACTCTCGCAGATGAATTTCCACCCGCTGGTGCTGATCGCGAAGGGCGGCAACGCGTGGGTGGACATCGACAGGTCGGCGACGTTGCGCCTCCGCGCGACGGGCATCCAGAAGCTCCCAGGGAAG